GAGTTTTAAGTACCTCCATGGATGGAGACTCCACCCACAACTTCTCCAGGCAACCTGTGCCAGTGTCTTACTACTGCCATGGTAAAAAAAAAAGTGGTTTCTTGTGTTCATATGGAATTTCATGTTCCTTAATTTCTGCTCATTGCCTACTCTCCAACAATTATAGGTGCTCTGTGTGGTGAAAGACTCTGAGACTTGCCCATTAATCTGAACAGACTGAATTTTTAATGCCTGAGTTCTCTATGGCAGCCCTTCTTGAAATACAATCCATTGCAGTTCAACTGCCATATAATCCAAAATGTTGCCATTCTACCCAGATGCAGTAATGGCCAAATGTTTTATCAGCAGTGAAAAAGAATAACTTTTTTGTAGCCTGCTGCTACCAGGAATGATTAATACTCAACTGAGCTGTGAAGGACAGATAGCCAGTCTTTACAAGTTCCAGGAGCTGACCTTAACTGCGGCTCACCTAGGTGTCCTTTGATGCAGTGGCGCTTAAAATCTCAGTGTTTTATCTTAAGTCTTAATCATTTCATGTGAAACTTCAGCCATTCCATGGGCCCTAAGAAACAGCTCCAACAGTAACCTCAGCTCATTCAGTAACCTGCCCTAGGCATGCCCATGACACCTAAAGCAAGAAAGTAGAGACCAGAACTTTTGCCAGAAACGCAGAAGACAGCTCATCAGGTGCCCTTCTCAAACTACGGTGCTCACAGACATTTAAGTGAAAGTACAGCTTTTTGTTATTTTAAACATGCAAGCCTTTTAAAAGTTATCGACACAACTCTTGCCCAAGATTCCTTTCTTTATCCATGTCTTTGAAAGTTTATCAGTACTTTGCAGCTTGCAGATCTGGATTTTGAATCCTTGCACTGAACATTCATATGGAAGTCAAAAAACAAGATGAGAAAACTGAAAGAAAGCAAAACAGGTCCCACTGTTCTTAACAAGATGTGGACATGAGCTGCAGGAATTCAGGATAGATGTTTGCAGAAGCCATACACCAAGAATGTGAATATGTGGAAGTGTTTATGTTCCCGTTTATTCAATTACTGAAACTGCAGGATTCAGCACAGCGTCTTGACACAAAACTAGGACTAAAGTTAATTCAGCTTTTTGTGCTTTCTTGCGAGGCCGTTTTCTGCAGCACATTTTCTGTTCTTTTAATATTGCATAAATGAATCACATCCAAATGAGGGAGCAACTTCTAAAATCCATGAAACTAAATTCCTCCTGGACTGAATGTTTTATATCTTCCTCACTATACATGTCCTCTCCATCCTTTCCTGGGAATGTGGTCACTGATTTTAAGCCAAATTTACCTACAACGCTGCTGTGATTCAGATTTAATGCACAATGAAACCCATTACCACCTATCCCAAATGAATAACATCTTCATGATTATAAATCTTCTAGAGGTCTAGCAAGATGCAGTGATAATGCACTCTAGGATTAAGTATGGCTTGTTATGCAAACAACATAAATTATGAATGATATCTGAATCTAGTTTGTTAATGCTTCAAGAGCTGATGATGACTTAGATCCACATAACAGTGCCTTAGGCTGTTAGAGAAAAAAAAGCTATGTGGTATTTCATATTTTGGAGCATAGAAAAGAAAGATGAAGTGATGTTGCTAGAGTAGGACAAAAGCATTGGAGTTTGGAAACAGCCTAAAAAAAAGTCCCAGGGTTCATTCTCAGTGTGATCCCACTCTGACATTTCCTGAATTATCTAAATATTTGTGTGAGTGTTACTTCTGAGATTCAGCATGTTCCAAGAAAACAATCCTGGAAACAGATAAATAGTCAGTAAAATGAACAGATAAATTTTCAGCAAAATGACAGGGCATTTTGAAGGTGCACACTGATTGATGTACTTGCCTACAAAAATGTAGGGCAGCACAGAGTCTGTAAAAGATAGTGGTAGACTGGATTTTTGTCTCTGATGTCTGGCTCCTGCTATGCAATCATTATCACAAGACTTTTCAGATAAATAAAAAGTAGAGATTATCTCCATAAATCAGTAAGGGCTTTTGGTAGAGAGAAAGATGTTGTGCACAACTCGTTTTGTGCTGTATTTTGAGGTATCGAGCTGTATGCAGATCTAGGATATGTATGACAAGGGCATGTTGCTGTTACTCTTCTCCCAGGTCCCTTTTCCCTTCTGCTGCTCCCCTGCTACTTAGATACACAAAGGCTGGATCTTCCTGGCTTGAGTCACCAGAAATTCATAAGCAAGTAAGTCATGGGGAAGGGCCTGGATCCACCTGAAGTGAAGAGATAGCAGGAGGAGAGAATTACATTAACCCCTGTGGCCAACAGTGAGGAAAATGAACCCTAGCTGTCCCCTGGCATGCTATCCATTTCAGGAATGTCCCTCACCTGTGTCAGCTCTCACACTGATTATGGTGTGGTTTTTGACAAGTTTCTACTGAAACGGTGTGAGATATTTGGCAGGAGGAACTTAGAAGTACTCTGTAAATCAGATCCAGTTCCTGCTCTGAGAGTTTTGATGGCTCCCAGGAGCAATATGCTTAAACTCTAGAGACCAGTTTTCCAACCTTAGAGATCGATGATGCAGAAGTACCGATGGCTACAGGATATGGCCCACCTACAAGAATAAAGCCACGTTAAGAAGAAGGTGCAAAGATGAGAAGTGAGAGCTTCAAATAAATGGACAAGGATGTCAGCACATCCATCTGCCCAAAGAATAGCATTAAAGGCAGCTCCACACGCAGTGAACTGATAAAGCAGCTTGCTTTTGACTCCTATGTGTTGACGTTTTTTCCACCTGAAGCATATTAAAATTCTGTCCAGACTGTCTTTGTTTGCCCCTCTCAGCCTTTCAACTGACATTCCTGCCACCTTACTGATCTTGTCTTCTTCTTAAAATTTTGCTGAAATTGCTCAGGAAATTCAAAAGAATTTAGTGGTGATGGAGATTAAGAAAGGAGACACAGGCAAACACAGGTTAAATGATTACTTAGGCCTAATATTTGAAAGAAACATAGATTAAAAGTTATAGTTTTTACATACCTAAACTAAGTCATTTCAAAGATTTGAAATAACACCATCACCCAAAATGAAGATTACTTCTGACTGTTACTGCAAAAGGCTAATAGCTTGGTATTGGAGGTCAAAACCAAATGAAGTAACTTATTGAAAAAAAGTGCATAGCTTTTTTCCTGTATGTATAGGACTCTTCAGCAGAAAGAAACCTTTCAAAATTCTTTATCCACGATTTGCTAGGTGTTGTGTTTTAACCCCAACCAGCAACTAAGCCTCACTCCCCCTGCAGCAGAACGGGGGAGAGAATCAGAAGGGTAAAAGTGAGAAAACTCATTGGTTGAGATAAACACAGAGTAATAGGTAAAGCAAGGGCTGTGCACATAAGCAAAACAAAATGAGGAATTAATTCACTACTTCCCATGGGCAGGCAGGTGTTCAGCCATCTCCAGAAAGCAGGGCTCCATCACACGTAATGGTGACTTGGGAAGACAAACACCATCACTCCAAATGTCCCCCCCTTCCTTCTTCTTCCCCCAGCTTTATATGCTGAGCATGACATCATATGGTGTGGGGTATCCCTTGGATCAGTTGGCCCAAATTCTTTTGCCCCCCCAGCCTCCTTGCTGGTGGGGTGATGTGAGAAGCAAGAAAGGCCTTGACTCTGTGTAAGCACTGCTCGGCAGTAACAAAACCATCCCTGTATTATCAACACTGTTTCCAGCACAAATCCAAAACACAGCCCCATACCAGCTGCTGTGAAGAAAATTCTGCCCCAGCCAAAACCAGCACACTAACCTAAATCCATATTCACACACAAAATCGTTGTGATAGCCATGACTGCAGATTTGATTGGCATGTACGGTATTCAGTGCCTTCTACCTGTGTTAGATTCCTTGATTTTAATGGAACAGAAAACAAGCCTTGAAAAAATATTATTATACAGAGCAATTGGAGACTGGAAACCCTCACGTAACAAAGGTGCTATGAAATGAGTTGAAGAACTTTGCAGGGATAGTGGTAAGCCAGGTTTAATCAGCCCTTCCAATGACCAAGTCAGTGAAGAGTTTTTGCAACAATTTCTCTACTGTTTCTGGAATAAACACAGTGCCAGTAAATCTGAGCTGGCTCCTCATGAAATTATCTAAATTGCTTCCAGGGGTAAAATGACTTTGGAAACAGTATAGCCAGGAGGTACCTGAGCTCATAAAGCTCTGCAGTTCTGCAGCTGCTCTGTACAGGGTCAAAACACCCTCTCTGTCTCCATGATTAATTAAATAACAGCACAGATATCCTGACCATTTGTAATCAAGAACTGCCTGTATGTCATGAATCACAACAATATTTTATATCTACCCATTAAAATTACAGCAGCCAAGGACAGACTAGGATATTTAGTCTTGGATGTGCAACAAGCAGGTGCTGATGTATCTGGTGGTCTGAGGAGGCCCATTAGCCTGAGGTAGCGGGAGACATGCTCTGGATTCAACAGTGCGGTATGGATCTACATCTGCCTAAATCCCACACGTAGGCTGCCCGTTATCCTGCCTTGGCTTGACGTGTTGCATCCCCAGAGCTATCACAGCCTGGTAGCATAAACTTTAGGCAGGATCCAACAGTAAATCTGACAACATCAGAAGACTACAATTCCTTGCTTCAATAGTAAGGGTCATTTATCTTTGGCCAATATGAAATATGTGTGTAATTACCATGAAATAGGATAAAATCCATTTCTGTTGTTATTTGACATGACCATCCAACCTCATAAAAGAAAGTGAAGATGTCAATTAATTATATTTCCATAAAAAGCTAATACTGATAGTGTTTTCAAATCTTGCAGGTGGCTCCGTAGAAAGAATCCAACTTTTTTTTTAGTTGCTGTCAGCATTAGTTGTATCACAGGCAGCACAACGCAATGTATCTAGGCACCTGTAGATGTACTAGTCAATTAGAGAGTGTAATTAAAGAAATGAAAGGAACTGTACTGTACTCACCAGGCTTTACAAGGCTTGCCTTTGTCTCCTTCTTATATCGAGCCAGCTGCGTGTTCCCTTCACTCATTGCCCCTGGACTGAATTTCTTCCTGGAGAAGTCTCCATCGCTACCAGTGCAAAAACTGATTGGACTGTTTCCAGCATCAGAAGGAGTCTTAACTGGAGATACTGACTGGCTACTAGGACAGCCAGTGTCATCTGGAGAGAAAAGGGAAAACATCAAAAATTCTAAGCAATAAGTACACAAACATTAGAATTAACAAAAAAAAAAGGGAGTTGGACTACAACTGTTTACTGTCAGTTTCCTTATTTGTACAACCTTGGCTCTGAAACCTTGTGAGAAGCTATTAGTTACTCCCATTTTGTGAAGAAGTCTTGAATCCTTTATAAAATACAAAATCAGGGGCTACATAATGAAAACTCAGATCTAAGACAAATTCTTTTGACCTAGCTATGTTAGGGAATATTTCTGCATGAAGAAATGCACATAAGACACTTGAATGTCTTGTGTAGTGCGCACCAGATGAAAAGGAAGCATGGGCCACATGCTAAGGGAAAACATCAAAATTTCTAAGCAATAAGTACACAAACATTAGAATTAACAAAAAAAAAAGGGAGTTGGACTACAACTGTTTACTGTCAGTTTCCTTATTTGTACAACCTTGGCTCTGAAACCTTGTGAGAAGCTATTAGTTACTCCCATTTTGTGAAGAAGTCTTGAATCCTTTATAAAATACAAAATCAGGGGCTACATAATGAAAACTCAGATCTAAGACAAATTCTTTTGACCTAGCTATGTTAGGGAATATTTCTGCATGAAGAAATGCACATAAGACACTTGAATGTCTTGTGTAGTGCGCACCAGATGAAAAGGAAGCATGGGCCACATGCTCTCCTTCAAGATACGTTCCTACCTGAACAACAAGAGAACGACCTACAGCCCAAATGCAGAAAGTCAGTATTTTCATTTAACTGGAATTAATAAAGGTTTCTCAAAATTGTTTTTCCTTTTAAAGCAACCATGATCACAGAGCTCTACCATTCTTGACACGTGGCTGTGAGGTAGCTGATTCTTTAGAAGGTGTGTGTTATACACATACTGCTTTTCTTTAAAGCCCAGTTCCTCTGAGAGCACACCAGTGCTTCACAGCATCAGCAGCCACCTCGGGAATAGACCTGTGTTCCTGACGTCCAGCAATACAAACACTCCGGCACTTAACAATTAAATGCAAAGTAAGAAGTCTGAGTCCAGGGGAAATCCACATATCAAACAACCCCTTCATCTAATCACATCTCCTGTAATCTTGGGTAATCACAGCTCCACTAAAAGTCATGGTGGCTTTAGAGATACACAACAAAACCAAACAGGCTACTCTGACACTGGGAAGCCTTGAATATTTACTCTCCTGGAGAAATGTAATTGCTTGTTCTTTCCCAGGACAAAATGAAAGCTGCCATCTTAATTATACAACTGCACTCTGCTCCCAGTGCATTACCTTTACCTAACATGAAACTCAAAGTGTGTGCAACTGAGCCAAATAATTTGCATGAATATATTACACCTACCACTTCCACCTTGTTCATAATTTAGGTCAAGCCTGATCTTGCAATGAGCTTTGCATGGGCAGATTGTTTAAAAAGTCAGTATATGATTGTGCATTTATGAGGCAAAAGGGGCACCCTCTAACTACCTAACCCCCTCCCTGCCTGCCTCCCCTTCACAGGAAAGAGCACCTTTTGCTGCTGTTAACTATTGCTCCCTCAGTACAGTAAAACAACCTCATCCTTTCATGGGAACCAGTTTTCCTTCGTGCCTGTCCAGTTACCCTACACTCACCTATTTGTTCCAGTGTTCTGCTTCTTATTTCTCCCCATCCTGCCTGCAGTGCTGTGCAAGGTACCTATAGGTGCTGACTGCCCAAAGCACGTAACAGCAGCCAGCAGCCTGAGGTGTGGCTGCCCAGGCCTCTGCAAATGGCCAGGCATGATGCCAAGCCACGGGGGCAGCTCAGTTACCTCCCAAGGCACAGAGGGCAGTAACGGTGTGAAGCACCTAATCCAGCTTAATCATATTTCATTCCTTCCAATCAGCCCAATTCAGCCTGCAAGCATCTCCTTTGCCACCTTGCTGCTGCCTTCTGCAACTTAGAATTGGTTCCTAGAAAAATAACGGGAAGGAAAGGACCGCTAATAAGGTTTTCAGCCCATCCCCACATTCATCCTGACTAAAGCAGTATTGTTGCCCACATGATTTTAGTTTAAGTTTTATCCTTTCCATTCCCATCAACATCACAATGTAACTCAACACAGAGAAGAGAGAAGGTGGCAATTTCCTCCAAGAACAGCACCCATTTCCTTCTCCCAAGGGTTCAGAGTCTCTTCTGCGGGCTAAATGAATGCTACCCACAGGGCAGCGTAGGATCAGCATGGCTGAGTGAGCTTCTGAATTGTATTTAAGCAGCTCCTTTAGCTATGTCCCAAACGTCTTCTTTTGAGAAGTACACAAATATTTATAATCAATCATATTCAGAAAAAAGTGCAGGTTTGTGCAGTTTATTTTTTCTTGCAACCTTTCTGCTTAGATGTTTCTCTATGTGCCATTATTTTCAAAACTTTATGTTTAAAAAAAAAAAAGACAAGAAACTAGTTCCTTCATCTCTTCACCAATAAAATCACTGCAATAGCTTGACAGGTTGTACAGATATTTTTTTTATGGGAGATTTTATGGATAAATAACTCCCAGAGATATCATAGAATATCTCAAGCTGGAAGGGAGCTGCAAGGATCAAGTCCAACTCACTGCTCCTCGCAGGACAACCCAAAACTAAACCATATGGCTAAGAGCATCATCCAGACACTCCTTGCACTCTGACAGGCTTGGTGCCATGACAACTTCCCTGGGGAGCCTGTTCCAGTGACCGACCACCTTCTCAGTGAAGAAATCTATAGGGATGCTACCTGGAAGAGCCTCAGAAGCTGATAAAACCTTTACACAATGAAAGAACTAAACTGCAGTGTTAACAATTAGGGCATTAAAAAACCACGTATGTAAAATTACATGTGATAAGGAAATAGAGTAAGTAAAGAAAGCATATAAAAAGAGCATGTAAAAATAAATGTTTTAATTACCACTCCCCCCACCATTGTCTCTGATATCACACTGGTGACGCTATATGATCAGATTATGTCATATCTACATAGCCTCATTTTACCTGTAAGGACTTCAGCTTTCTTTGCAACAGGGCATTTGCTAAAGGAACAAATGGGCTCAGCACAAAGAACAATAGGTCATCTCTACTCACCCCCCCGTGACCTTTAGATACCCCAATAACCAGGTGAGCATTCTCTCTCCAGCTTAAGTAAATGAACGATTTTATTGTACTCCCTCTCCTCTGATAGTTTGGGTTTTTTTTTATAATGTGTAACTTCTACTCCTTCTACCTAGTATTAGCCAGAAATTGAACAAAATTACACAGTTTCCAAATCTAGGGCAAGCTGCAGAGAAACATTTTTCTGTGTCAGCTTTTTGTGGTGCTTTTTGAATAATCAAAATGTTTACTACCACAGAAAGGAACAGCTGCATACAAAACGCCGGTGCTCCAAAGGCAAGAAAAGCTCTGCTGTGCATTGGGGGGATCCACCTCCCACCCGACCTGCAATTCACCGTTCTGGCACAAGGAAAAGTCCCAGTGAAGACCGAGGTGCTATCCAACTGCGAGGTGCAAGCCAAATTCCCTGCAGTTATCTTCATTCTTCCCTGTTACCAAAGCCTTAACGGGCTATTTGACTGCATTTAATACTGTAGGTGAGCTCCCCACAGAACAGCAGCAGGCTTCCCCGTGGACACTGGTGGCACATCAGGCTGATGCCCGCTCTGTCCCACAGCCTGACCACCTGCCCAGCTCACTGCTGGAAATATACTGGGTCCAGTATTTCCTGCAGACCTGTAGGCTCCTCCAAAACCCCGCTGAAAACTCTGACAGCAGGAGGTGAAGACCTCCACCTGCCCAGAAATGGGCCAGGGTAAGGAATCTATCTCCAAAGTTGGCAAGGGGGTAACAGGAGCAGACAGGCCGACAATGGGATTCACTTTCTCCTGAAGACATGATGTGAATGTAGTTTTCAGCAGGGTCAGTTAAGGATTCAGTCCTGTAACTTGGCAAAAGTTCTGCCCCAGTAAGGATTTCAGGTCCAGACTTCTCTGGAATACAGAGAGACCTGATTAACTTCTCAGGCACATGAGCATCAGGAAGATGGAAGAGAGAAAGCTGGCAGATATGCTGTGAAAGTCCATACTTCTGATCTTGCCTGTATTATTTACTTGCACATGAGGGAAAACCACATAAATTTATAACACACAACTTTCAGTGTTTTCTTAGCAATATTCACGGTGTCTTTTTTCACAGTGGCCTCCTAAGAGCATTCTGGGAGTAGACTTTCCCTTTGAACATCAGCTGGATTTCATCACTGAAACTCTACATCCAATCCCTCTCCCAGATAGACATGCTTGCCAAGTTTCAAAGCCAAGCACGGGGTAGTGTCTCCTCAAACACATGATCAGGGAAGTTGCTCGGAGCAGTCTGACATTTGCATGCACTGCCTAGCTTTCAAATAGTAAAGTCAAAGTATAAACAACAGTGTTACAGATAACACTCTAACAACTGTCAAAAATGCTGTTCTCATAGACTTTAAGGCCATGCATTGTGCTGTAATGATTTCCTCTGATTTTCTGGGCACAGAGGCTTTAGAAATTTCACTGGGAGGCTTCAGAGCCTTCTTTAGGAAATCTGCCTTTTCCCAAAGACTTCAAGAAATACTGAATTTACAACCTCCTTATATAATGCATCCAAATAATTAATGATGCTCTCGCTGAGGAAGCGCTGACTTATTTTTACCCTCGCTCCTAGCTGCCAGATCTAGTTATGCACTTTCATGACTCTGAACTGTCCATCCCCTACCTGTTCCCTTGTCTACTGTCCCACTTTCATCTTCTCTTAACATCCCCTGACCAATATTAGGGCTGCACATACTCTGCATTTCCACTAAGAAATGTGGATATCAGAATTAAACATGAGCCTTTAATGAACTTTTAAACGTTCAGTGCACCAAGGCAAAAACAGTTTCCTGACTTTTGCCTGATGGTTTCCTTCCCATTCATTCTGGCATCTGTTAGCCCGGGTAGCCATGGCTCTG